TAACAAACTGTTCTATGGTAAAATAGTTAATGGAGGAAGGTCAAAGCATAAACAACTGACAGATAGAAACAAACAATAGGGTTGTTGGCTGAATATGTCTGAAAGCTGGTGTGCACCTTGAAACTGTAAACCTGATCAGAGAAACATTGCAGAATTATCTGGGAGAAATACTTTGAAGACCAAGAAACAGCAAAGGAAAGAGCACCTGAAATCCATGCGCAAACTTGCTGTAAAAGCATAAATATTCTGCCACAGAAAACCTTTAGCATGCTCCAAGAGCATAAGGCTGGGATTTTTCATGCTTCAAACAAAGAACTCAACTGACTATTGGGCACTATAGGACAGATAAGGTCTTGTCAGTAATCGCCCAGTAATCACCTCTGAAAAGGACACAAAAGGATAAGGATTTCAAAGGCTGCAGTGAAATAAAGATGGGGGAGGTCAATTCTCAAGAACTGATCGATGTTGACTTCCGTCCACTATTCTTGGGTAACTCAAAGATTTAAAGAAGTCAGGCACTAAGAAGAAAAACAAATTGAAGAAGAGCTGTTTGCACAAGGCAATTGAGCTACCTCAACCTTGAGCAGTCCTCATTACTTAACATAGTGAAATGCCGTTGCTGTATAATTAGCATGCTGTATCCTGTTGTATACTACTTTTAAGCTCAGCATTCCACCCTATGGGTTGCAACAATCCTGTGTTTCAAAGAGTTACAAATATAGCAGTCTCAGCACCATTCAACAAGATCATACGTGATCTTCAACACGATTCAACATACTTGCCTTTACTCCATATCCTTAATGCCTAAATTAATCAAAAATCCATCAATCAATCTCAGATTTAAATTGATTAAAGTCAGTTCTAAACTTTTACAACTCTGTGTACAAAGAAGCATTTCCTAATTTCCCAGTGAGACTTACTAAATTAACAATTTAATTCAGCTTCCTGGTCCTCGATGACCTTACAAGGAGAAAAAGGTTTCTTCTAGTCTACTCTATCTGTTCTTCTTAAAGCACTAAAACCTTCGACCAAATCTTGTCTCAACCTTCTAAATTTCAGGAAATACAAACCTAGTTTGTTTAAACACCCATATATTGATCCTAAAAGGTGGAATCCAGGTCTGCTAATTGTAGTCTCGGACTGGTCAATTTTGCAAGTTGAAGTACGACTTAACTCTTCCATATTTGAGCACTCTAAAAAGACAGACTTGCATTTATATAGCACTTTACAGCCAAAATGTAATTACTATTGTAATGTAGGAAACTCAGCAAATAATCTGCACACTGAACTCCCACATACAGCAACATGATATAACATGATGCGTGATGTTGATTGACAGACAGTCTTTAGCAAGGATATCAGGAATAACTCAACTCTTCAAAATAGGGCCTCACTTTATTGTGTAATCCAAAAGACAGCATCTATCACAATGCTGCAATCCCTCAGTACTATAGTGGAGAGTCCACCTTGATTTTTGGGCTTGGGTCCTGGAATAAGACTTGAACAAAGAACCTTCTGACCCAGTGTGAATGCACTATCAACACACTCACAATTGATATTCAAAATATTGACGCCAGCATTCTGGCAGGCTTCTGTCTGAAACATAAAGATTGAGAACCTTATTCTTATATGACATACCAATTTAAGTGGAGGCAGTATAGTAGGGGCAACGTCACTGGACTGGTAATCCAAGGCCCAGGCTTATGCTCTGGGTACACAGGTTTGAATCCCACCATGGCAGATAGAAAATTTGAAATCAATTAGAATACTGGGAGTTTAAAATATAGTCTGTCAACCATGTAACAATTATTGATTGGGTCACTAATGTCCTTTTGGGGAGGAATTCTGCCATCCTTACTTGGTCTGGCCGACGTGACTGCAGAACCACAGCAGTGTGCTGACTCTTAACTGCCCTCTGAAATGGCTCTAGGGGACCATTTCATGGGCAATTAGGGACAGTAATTAATGCCGGCCTTGTCCCATGTAAGAATTAAAAGAAAAGATTGTGAAAGTTTATTACTGTTTTTGTTTTTATATGTCAAACCAACAAACAGCAAAATAAAAGCCTTGCTTACCTCTGCAGTCATTTTTGCTAATCTGTCCGGTGCAATGTTTCCACACAGGACGTTTCTCCTTAGATTAGGGTTTTTTGAATCTTTCAGATTTGCAATTCTGCTTCTCACTCTGTTTTTATATTTCATATCTGTGTTTTTAAATTCCTGATACACACGTCAAAAATTGTTAAGGGAATTCAAGCATCTTTGTTTTATTGAAAACAGTATTTAGTGTGTCTCTGTTTTGTAAGGTTACAAATTGAATATCAGTATGCTTCTGTAGAGTGATGGTCATTCAGCCAATTTCAAACTGCCTGAATATTACTTTTTTTTTTAAAAATTACATCATGATACTTTACCATGTCCATAAACATAACAAAACATCTTGCAATAACAATTAAATGAATCCTCTTAAACATGCATTCTATACACATTTGATAGCAAGCAATACATGTTTAAGAGCTGAAGAACTTGGCTCTTCTTGGATTCAGCTGGGAGGGGGATGAACAGATTTTGTCTGCTAATATTCAAGCAGGCACCTGCTGTCCTGAAATAATTTATGAAAGCACTGCTGTTTTGTGGGCACACTTTCCTCAGAGATGGTTCGAATGTTTGGATGTAAAGGGATTCATTATTTCAAGCTCTTTGTCTCTGGCTAGGCAAGTACCAAACATTGCTTGTTTGCCTTGGGATACATTTCACAGATACTTATGGCACTTCTGTGAAGGGATGTACTTCCTCAAAGTGGAAAGGATGCAACCATTTGCAGATCCGAGTATTATCCTGAATTACAAGCTTCAAAGGGAACTCAGGCCTGCAAACAGTACACCAAGCTCTTGTATCTGAGGCTTGTCAGTTGATACATATTTCTAAAGCTTTTATATGCAAGTGAGAGAATACTAACCATCAGAAGGATCAATTTAGGTCATTTAACCACTGTGGATAATGGATTTAAAACCTGGCCAGTTATGATGAAAAGGAAAAAAAGAATTAATTTCTATCTTGATTTTTCTTTTAACAAACAAGCAAAGCAAACAAAAACCATTAACAGGACCAGTTACTTTCAGGAGTGGAGGCAATCTGTATAACATTTTATAGGTTCAATTCTTGTAAGGACTCACAGAAAGAGAGTGCTCATGGACTCAACAATATTTATGGACAATAATAATGAATCTTGGTATGACTGAAGCACAATATACATCACCAGATTCAATAGCTAGGAGTAATTTAAAATCTGCATGTTCAGGAATCTCCACTCTCAACTGTCCACCATTGGAGCGGCACGGTGGCTCAGTGGTTAGCACTACTACCTCACAGCGCCAGGGACCCGGGTTCAATTCCACCCTCGGGCGACTGTCTGTGTGGAGTCTGCACGGGTTTCCTCCAACAGTCCAAAGATGTGCGTGCTAGGTGGATTCGCCATGCTAAATTGCCCACAGTGTTCAGGGATGTGTAGATTAGGTGGGTTATAGCGGGTTGGGTCGGGATGGGATGCTTTGAGGTTCGGTGTAGACTTGTTGGGCCGAAGGGTCTGTTTCCACACTGTAGGGATTCTATGATAAGTTAGGGCTGAGCCTTAAGATTTTGTAGTCTTTACAATGCAGAATATAAAGCAAGTGTAGTGAGATCTACAGCGCCGGTAAACAAGAACTTCACTTAACTGAAGATATTAGGTGGGATGAGTTGCACAGTGAGACTGTTCAAGTCTAGACAGCATTCTCGCAACACAATCTGCCTTTCAGAAAAGGCAACTTAGCCTTTTCAGACATCAACTGCAAACATGAGCAAAATTACATATTACTCAGAAATATGAAGCTATTTTAGAAAATAATTTGACTGTGTTCTGTGTAAACAAAGTTCTCAATTTTGGTTGCAAGATCAGGGGAGAGGAACTGAAGAACCAAACATACAACAGATCCACAATTATTACAAAAACAAATTCACAGCAATGACAATTATTTATCTCACTAGTGTAGCCTTTAAAACCCCCTCTTCCATTACTACTTCCCATTGCTGAACCTCTGTTTTAGACATCAGTTTCTCTGCGTACAATACAATATTGCTTGATGTTGATACAAGTTCAAATTCTGACCAGGTGAAATACTCAAAGTTTCAGTTACTTCTTTAGAAGGATATTTTCCTCAATTTGAGCTCCGAGTTCGTCACAATCTGAGCCAATGGCTATGTAATCACCTGAAATGAGATGGAAAAAAACGACCAATCACCAACACTAACTTCCTCCTCTGAAGAAGAATATGCAGCTAATCCCAATAAACTTGGGAGTGAGATGACAATAGTTACTTATGTCCAAGATTCCACATTAATAAAAATTTACTCTCAGTGCAAAATAACAAATCTTCAAATAACAGCTATAACACACAGCAAAACTTCTCTCTAAACTGCATTATTAGACCATAGAAGCCAAACTACCATTTTAGCTACGGCCAAAAATATCTGACCAGAATAAAAATATCTCCTATCCCTCACTTTCGAAGATTTTCTCAGCCCTCAGGCAGAATCATGACTATATTTTGAATTTTGCCACAGCTAGCACAAGGAAAACATCCTGGTTCTTTAACTTAAATGGAATACAGTCTGGAAAGTCTGGGGACCAAAGCGGATAGCACATGAAATTGGGCAGAGGAAAATTCAATGATCACATGCCCTGTGTCCAAATGAATGATTTGGATAACATGTAATTTCATGCTGCCTGCTCATTCCCATGACTGTGAAGCAAAGATCAGCATTGAACATTCTGCTGAGTGGCAAATCCTGAAGGAACAGGCATAGGGAAATGGTGCTGCAGGTAATTGGAAAGTTGGATTGCTACTATTGACCCAAGGCTCACTCCATTCTCCAAATACATTAATTATAAAACTACATTTAAAATTTGTCTTAATTTTTAAAGTGGGTTGGCATGTGACTTACCATCTGTTTTCATTGCAGCAGCTAACATTTCTCTACACTTGATCCGCACCGAGTCCGTGGTAAAAGGAGCCTGAGGATAACTTTTTAGTTGAAAAGGTGATGGAGTATAGAATGCTTCATGGGGATTACTAGAATTGCTTCCTGAACTGTAAGAAGAAACATAAAGAAGAAACCAAATCTCAGCATTTGGTCAGGTGTAAGTATGCTTAGTGTAATAATACGATTACTTCTGCAAGTACACTATTCGCCAAAGCACAGCTAATTTACAAAAATACTTGAAACAAAACAAAATAACCACAAAGGTTTTAGGAAGAGTAAATTTATTTGGTTTGCCGATTGCCTTAATTACAGTGATGCCAAATTCCAGTCTTAATACAGATCAAACCAACTTGATTGGTTGTTACGTAAAAATTCTGACCCCAAATTTTATTAAATATATATTTTCAACTGAATGTGTGAACATCACTGCCAGGGAATAGCCTCAAACACACCACCTTCAGTGTGTACTGACGGTTCGACACCGCTGCTGATGCCACCGCCTCAGTTTCCGAGGCCAACGCCACAGACACCGAGGACACCGCTGCTGCCGCCGCAACTAACATCCAGGACTTACCGACCGACTCCACTCCCCCCACCGCCTACCCCGCTCCGCCCACGTCACTCCGCCCACCGCCTCCACAGCCAGCAGCTCCAGAGGAGACTGTAGCACCCAGCCCTGCCGAGTCTTCACCACCCCCCCAGACCTCCCCCTTACTGAGGACGAACGGTCAGTCCTCAGTAAAGGGCCCACCTTTGTCCCCCCCCACCCAAACATCAACGAATACCGCTCACACTTGGACGTTGAACAGTTTTTCCACCGCCTCCGCGCTTACTTCTTTAACCATGAGCCTAACCCTCCCCCTACTGACCCCTTCTCCTGCCTCCAACATACCCCCACCTCCCGGACACCACCCCAAGGCCTCCTACCCTCCCTCGACCTCTTCATCTCCAACTGCCGTCGTGACATCAATTGCCTCAACCTCTCCACCCTTCTACCCCACTCCAACCTCTCCCCCACAGAACGTGCAGCCCTCACTCCAATCCCAACCTCACCATAAAACACATGGACAAGGGAGGCACAGTTGTAGTATCGCCGAGGCCAGGCACCAACTCTCCGACACCTCCTCCTACCACCCCTTTGATCACGACCCGACCCGACCCCCGAACACCAAACTATCATCTCCCAAACTATCCACAACCTCATCACCTCAGGTGACCTCCCCCACAGCCTCTAACCTCATCGTTCCCCAACGCCGCACCGCCTGCATCTATCTCCTTCCCAAAATCCACAAACCTGACTGCCCTGATCAACCCATTGTCTCCGCCTGCTCCTGCCCTACCGAACTTATCTCCACCTATCTTGACTCCATTTTCTCCCCCTTGGTCCAGGAACTCCCTACCTACATCTGTGACACCACCCACGTCCTCCACCTCCTCCAAAACTTCCAATTCCCTGGTCCCCAACACCTCATCTTTACCATGCACATCCAGTCCCTGTACACCTGCATTCCCCATGCAGATGGCCTAAAGGCCCCCCGCTTCTTCCTGTCCCGCAGGCCCAACCAGTCCCCCTCCACTGACACCTTCATCTGCTTAACCGAACTCATCCTCACCCTCAACAACTTCTCTTTCAATTCCTCCCACTTCCTACAGACAAAGGGGGTGGCCATGGGTACCCTCATGGGCCCAAGCTATGCCTGCCTCTTTGTAGGTTACGTGGAACAATCTCTCTTCCAGAGCTACACTGGCCCTAAACCACACCTCTTCCTCCGTTACATCAATGACTGTATCGGCGCCGCCTCGTGCTCCCACGAGGAGCTCGAACAGTTCATCCACTTCACCAACACCTTCCACCCCAACCTTAAGTTCACCTGGACCATCTCTGATACCCCTCTCTCCTTCCTGGACCTCTGTTTCCATCTCTGGCAACCACCTGGAAACCGATATCCATTTCAAACCCACCGACTCCCACAGCTACCTAGAATACACCTCCTCCCACCCACCTTCCTGCAAAAATGCCATCCCCTATTCCCAATTCTTTCGCCTCCGTCGCATCTGCTCCCAGGATGAGGCATTCCACTCCCGAACATCTCAGATGTCCTCGTTTTTCAAGGACCGCAACGTCCTCCCATCAGTGGTCGAGAACGACCTCGACCGCGTCTCCCGCATTTCCCGCAACTCATCCCTCACACCCCCTCCCCGCAATAACAACCAAAACAGAATCCCCCTCATCCTCACGTACCACCCCACCAACGTCCGGATCCAACGCATCATCCTCCGACACTTCCGCCATCTGCAATCCGACCCCACCACCAAAGACATTTTCCGTCCCCACCCTTATCTGCTTTCCAGAGGGACCACTCTCTCCGTGACTCCCTTGTCTGCTCCACACTCCCCTCCAGCCCCACCACACCCGGCACTTTTCTCTGCAACCGCAGGAAGTGCTACACCTGCCCCTACACCTCCCCCCTCAACCCATCCCAGGTCCCAAGAAGACTTTCCACATCAAGCAGATGTTCACCTGCACGTCTGCTAATGTGGTATACTGCATCCGCTGTTCCCGTTGTGGCCTCCTCTACATTGGGGAAACCACGCGGAAACATGGGGACCGCTTTGCAGAACACCTACGCTCAGTTCGCACTAAACAACTGCACCTCCCAGTCGCGAACCATTTCAACTCCCCCTCCCATTCCTCAGACAACATGTCCATCCTAGGCCTCCTGCAGTGCCACAACGATGCCACCCAAAGGTTGCAGGGGCAGCACCTCATATTGCACTTGGGAACCCTGCAGCCCAATGGTATCAATGTGGACTTCACAAGCTTCAAAATCTCCCCTCCGCCTACCGCATCCCAAAGCCAGCCCCAGCTTGTCCCCGCCTCCCTAACCTGTCCTTCCTCCCACCTCAAGCCCCACCCCCATCTCCTACCTACTAGCCTCATCCCACCCCCTTGACCTGTCCGTCCTCCCTCGACTGACCTATCCCCTCCTTAACTCCCCACCTACACTCAACTTTACTGGCTCCATCCCCGCCTCTTTGACCTGTCTGTCTCCTTCCACCTATCTTCTCCTCTATCCATCTCCTATCTGCGTCCCCCTCTCTCCCTATTTATTTCAGAACCCCCTTCCCCTCCACCATTTCTGAAGAATGGTCTAGGCCCGAAACATCAGCTTTCCTGCTCGGCCTGCTGTGTTCATCCAGCTCTACACCTGGTTATCTCACCTTCAGTGTATTCTGCTTCACAGATTCTGTCTAATAGAGATAAATTGAAAAATGAATTTTGTCATTTGTCAATCTAGCTCATTGCAATGGACAGGTTTGTTAAAAAAAAAAAAAAAAAAAAAAAAAAAAAAAAAAATCGACAGAAGTAAAATAAGAAACAACCGAGATGGTGTGGAGGTCTCCATATTAATGGAGGCTATCTAGCCAAATTTTTTGTCGTTAAATGGAAGCTCTGATGCAGAAATTTTCTTAGTTTAATTTTAAGAAGTTATCACCTTTCTTCCTTTGCTTCTGGACTGTTTTGTGCTAAGGACACAGAATCCCTTTTCTTCTCTTCAGAAGGTTTCTCAGTTGATGGGCCATCTGCAAAATGGCATTTGATTTAAACATCATGTCAAAACCTTTTAAAAAAAAAGGCACTTCATAAAACACATTACCAAATAAAACAAGAAAGTAAATAGTACAGTAAAATTCACATCATCTGGTACCTCACTAACTGGAATACTCTACCACCGATATCCTCCTTAAGTGTTATTGTCGCAGTATAAAAGTACTGATGTCAGTCTGAAGTAATTGTAAAAGATTTGGCTTAAGGTTGAAATATCTTTCATCCAGTGCTTACAGTGAAAAAAAGTCAAAAGGTGGAGAGGTTCCAAGCCTCTGCAAGTTGAAGCATATGCAAGATATATTTTCCATTCTATTACTATTACCACAAACTGCAGTAATTTAACTGACATTTTTGATTTACTGGTGCCACCCAATTCTGGTGTGCACTGGTCAACATATTTTACTGCAATGTAAAACCAAACACAGCAAAGTATACACTCTGGTGACAGAACTGTGAGAAACACTATTCACATCTGGAGATAGTAAGAACTGCCGATGCCAGATTCAGAGATAACACATTGTGCAGTGGTCTCTACCTTCCAGTTGCGAACCACTTCAACTCCCCCTCCCACTCTCTAGGCAACATGTCCATCCTGGGCCTCCTCCAGTGTCACAATGATGTCACCCGGAAACTCGAAGGGCAGCTCCTCATATTCCGCCTTGGAAGCCTACAACCCAAAGGTGTCAATGTGGACTTTACCAGTTTCATAATCTCCCCGCCCCCGGCCTCATCCCACAACCAACCCTCTCTCTCATTCCCACCTCCTTGATCTGACACAACCTGTCTGTCTTCTCTTCCACCTGTCCGCTCCTCCCACCTCACTGACCAATCCCCACCACTGCCTACCAGCACTCACCTATCACCATCCCACCTACATTCCCCAGCCCCACCACCCCTCTATTTATTTCCCAGCTCCCTTCCCCCTCCCCCATTTCTGAAGAAGGGTTCTGACCCGAAACGTCAACTTTCCTGCTCCCCTGATGCTGCCTGGCCTGCTGTGCTCCTCCAGCTCCATACAATTCACATCTGACTACTTGTATGGAAAAGTGGGATCTTTAGAGTCATAGAATCATACAGCACAGATACAGACCCTTCAGTCCAAACAGTCCATGTCAAACATATTCCCAAACTAAATTAGTCCCACCTGACTGCTCCTGGCCCATATCCCTCCAAACCTTTCCTATTCATATACCTATCAAAATGTCTTTCAAATGTTGTAATTGTACCCGCATTCACCACTTTCTCAGGAAGTTCATTCCACATGTGAACCACTCTCTGGGTTAAAAAAATCTGCCCCTTGTGTCTTTTTTAAATCTCTCTCCTCTCACCTTAAAAATGTGTCCCTAGTCTTGAAATTCCCCATCATAGGGAAAAGCCAACTACCACTAACCCTATCTGTACCTCTCATTTTTTGTTTAAATAAACTTCTAACAGATTGCCTCTCAACCTCCTAGGCTCCAGTGAAAAAAGTCCCAGCCTTTCTTTATAACTCAAACCTTCGAAGCCTGGCAACATCCTATAAATCTCTTCCAAACTGTTTCCAGCTT